AAATGCCATAGCCCATCCCAATCACACCGCCCCAGTGCTCTGTGATCATCACTGGCTGCCATTTAAGGTATTGGTTTTGACCTATCAAGCCCTAAATTGCCTGGGACCATCCGACATGGAACTCCTCTCTCCATGTGCCACATTGACTCGATTGTGACCAGCACGGAGGTGCTCATATTGGAACCCCACTTTGGTTTATGGGCTTGTCTACATGGGGACATGCAGGAAAATTAATCTGAATTAACTACAGGTGTGAATTTGAAGGAGATTAATTAAACCTCATTCAATCCCTGTATGGATGCTGCTATTCAGAATTAAAGCGGACTTAATTTGGTTTAGTTTAATTCACTTTGGAAGTGAATTAAGATAAACCGATTTAAGACCACTTTAATTCTGAATGAAGGTGTTCACACTGTGGTTAACTAATTCACTTCAATTTCACACCTTCACTTAATTCAGATTAATTTTCCTGGATGTCACCATGTAGACAAGCCCTGTAAGGGGGGCGACTGCTGGCAGGTAGTTTCTTATGCGGGCCCCTCCATTTTGGAATTCACTTCCTCTCAGTCCCAAGTAGCCCTGGATCTGCGGCCTTTCTGAAAGTGTTTGAAGAGAACTGAGGTGCTTGTGAGAGCGTGGGGGCATTCCTTTGGGAGTCTCAGGTTGGGGGACGTGACTGGCTGTTATTTTGTGATCTCCTGTTTTGTTTTTTGTTACTCATTTGGATTATATTTTTGATTAGCTGGCAAGGCCTATGCAGGCCAGGTGTCTAACTCCCATTGATGTCAATGGGAGTTAGACACTTAACACACTGAGGTGCTTTGAAAATCCCTGTACGTGCCTAGCAGCATCCTTAGGTGCCTGAATCCCTTGGACAGTCTGGCCCCTAGAGCCCAGGACAGGAGTTTTTCACAATGTGAATGTGCCACAAATAAATAATACCGTCCAGGAGGCCAAAATGAAAGGGCTTCGGTTTGAATTGTTTGAGGCAGGCTGGGCTTTTTGTTTTCCTCGTCTAAAACACACCAAGCAGGCAATGCAAATAAGAGACCTGGCTTCCCCCACTCCATTTTTCAACTCAGGCAGACAAATACAGTAGGACAGGACTATTTAAAAAACAATTGATGTAACTGATGGCAACAATATTCGGACTGTAAGGCTTGGCCAAAGGATGAGCAAGAGAAGGTGATAACCGTAACTGCCCAGAAGTGTCTGAGCAGCCTAGATTTCAAGGAAGGAGCAGAATTATGTAGGAAATTTCCAATAACAGAGAATAAAGGGAAATTTAGATTGCATTTTAGGAAATATCTCTTAGTGGTGTGAGTTGGTGGAAGTTCTATGGCCTGTGATATACAGGAGGTCCGATTAGATCATCCTAATTAGCCCTTCTGGCCTTAACAGTAGAAGCAGTAGAAGCCCTATTGCTCAGGACACTTAGCCCTGGAAAATATTGCAGGGAACAACCTTCCACCAGCCACAGGGATAGGCTAGGAGAAACCTAACAGGTCACTAATTTCTGCATGATTATTACCAAGGGCAAAAGAACATAGATTCATAGATTCATAGATTCTAGGACTGGAAGGGACCTCGAGAGGTCATCGAGTCCAGTCCCCTGCCCGCATGGCAGGACCAAATACTGTCTAGACCATCCCTGATAGACATTTATCTAACCTACTCTTAAATATCTCCAGAGATGGAGATTCCACAACCGCCCTAGGCAATTTATTCCAGTGTTTAACCACCCTGACGGTTAGGAACTTTTTCCTAATGTCCAACCTAGACCTCCCTTGCTGCAGTTTAAGCCCATTGCTTCTTGTTCTATCCTCAGAGGCTAAGGTGAACAAGTTTTCTCCCTCCTCCTTATGACACCCTTTTAGATACCTGAAAACTGCTATCATGTCCCCTCTCAGTCTTCTCTTTTCCAAACTAAACAAACCCAATTCTTTCAGCCTTGCTTCATAGGTCATGTTCTCAAGACCTTTAATCATTCTTGTTGCTCTTCTCTGGACCCTTTCCAATTTCTCCACATCTTTCTTGAAATGCGGTGCCCAGAACTGGACACAATACTCCAGCTGAGGCCTAACCAGAGCAGAGTAGAGCGGAAGAATGACTTCTCGTGTCTTGCTCACAACACACCTGTTAATACATCCCAGAATCACGTTTGCTTTTTTTGCAACAGCATCACACTGTTGACTCATATTTAGCTTGTGGTCCACTATAACCCCTAGATCCCTTTCTGCCGTACTCCTTCCTAGACAGTCTCTTCCCATTCTGTATGTGTGAAACTGATTTTTTCTTCCTAAGTGGAGCACTTTGCATTTGTCTTTGTTAAACTTCATCCTGTTTAACTCAGACCATTTCTCCAATTTGTCCAGATCATTTTGAATTATGACCCTGTCCTCCAAAGCAGTTGCAATCCCTCCCAGTTTGGTATCATCCGCAAACTTAATAATCGTACTTTCTATACCAATATCTAAGTCGTTAATGAAGATATTGAACAGAGCCGGTCCCAAAACAGACCCCTGCGGAACCCCACTCGTTATGCCTTTCCAGCAGGATTGGGAACCATTAATAACAACTCTCTGAGTACGGTTATCCAGCCAGTTATGCACCCACCTTATAGTAGCCCCATCTAAATTGTATTTGCCTAGTTTGTCGATAAGAATATCATGCGAGACCGTATCAAATGCCTTACTAAAGTCTAGGTATACCACATCCACAGCTTCTCCCTTATCCACAAGACTCGTTATCCTATCGAAGAAAGCTATCAGATTGGTTTGACATGATTTGTTCTTTACAAATCCATGCTGGCTGTTCCCTATCACCTTACCACCTTCCAAGTGTTTGCAGATGATTTCCTTAATTACTTGCTCCATTATCTTCCCTGGCACAGAAGTTAAACTAACTGGTCTGTAGTTTCCTGGGTTGTTTTTATTTCCCTTTTTATAGATGGGCACTATATTTGCCCTTTTCCAGTCTTCTGGAATCTCTCCCGTCTCCCATGATTTTCCAAAGATAATAGCTAGAGGCTCAGATACCTCCTCTATTAGCTCCTTGAGTATTCTAGGATGCATTTCATCAGGCCCTGGTGACTTGCAGGCATCTAACTTTTCTAAGTGATTTTTAACTTGTTCTTTTTTTATTTTATCTGCTAAACCTACCCCCTTCCCATTAGCATTCACTAGGATAGGCATTCCTTCAGACTTCTCGGTGAAGACCGAAACAAAGAAGTCATTAAGCATCTCTGCCATTTCCAAGTTTCCTGTTACTGTTTCTCCCTCTTCACTAAGCAGTGGGCCTACCCTGTCTTTGGTCTTCCTCTTGCTTCTAATGTATTGATAAAAAGTCTTCTTGTTCCCCTTTATTCCCTTAGCTAGTTTGAGCTCATTTTGTGCCTTTGCCTTTCTAATGTCCTGCTGTACGCAGAGAGGATAGAAAGACTTTATCAGACTAAGTCCGAGGTCATAACCTGGGTTTTACCGGGGCCGTTTTTATCAAGGTTTAGTTTCAGTTTGGTTCAGAGAGGGGTCACTGTTCCAGCAAGTCTACTTTCTGAAGCCCTTGCAGCGTAGGTATCAGTATGGTACAAAGGAAGGGCCCAATTTTGCAAGGCGCTGAGTGTACCCAGTGTGGTGCTAGGCAGAGCCCGTTGATGTTAGAAGGAGTGCAGGGAGCGGAGCACTTTTCAGGAGCTGTCAGCACATTGACGGATCAGACCCTGAGAGAAGGGATTGCCCAGGGAGGTTGTGGAATCTCCATCATTGGAGATTTTTAAGAGCAGGTTAGACAAACCCCTGTCAGGGATGGTCTGGATAATACTTAGTCCTGCCATGAGTGCAGGGGACTGGACTAGATGACCTCTTGAGGTCCCTTCCATTCCTATGATTCAAATTTCTATGAAATAAGGTGGATGGCTTCTTAGCAAAAACTTAACTCCTGCCCTATGCACATTATCACTTCATGGCTGGCAAAGCAAGGATGGAGTGTTTACTCGTGTTCATAAATACCTCATCGTGCACTCAGTCAGCTTGGAAACTCGGGGCACAGAAAGGATTAAGCCACTAAGAATTAAGACAAGATCTGCAGTTAAAATGCCTGGGATAAAATTACAAAGGAGGTTGATCCCAGTGGTTCAGGACGTGAATGAACATCAGCTCAGGGCAGGAAGACAGTCCTCCCGCCCCGCCCCCCGAGCTGAGTACTGCACACTTACAAATGTAATACAGCTGTTATGCCTTCCCAGGGACTGTAACTTATAGCCCTCAAAACTGCACATACCTTTGCACCTACAATTACTGCCAGTGCCCATGTATACTTGTAGACTCCTAAATACCTGTAAAGTAACCCAGGTAAATGCCCACGCAAATGCAGGAGTGCAGATGGGTGCACATTTCTGAATGTAATATCCAGATGGGTCCCTAGGCATGTGGCCTTTATTTCTCTATTGCTGCTTCCTTCCACTGCTCTTTGGATGGAAGGCACTATGTATATAAATACATCTTTTGTAATGTACCAGCCAGCGTTGATCACTGTCAGAGGCAGGTGACCAAAAGAGATGGGATTTTACTCTGTTCTAGGCTAAGAATTCCTAGGCTCTGTCTCCCTGCTCTCTTTCCTTTCAGTTTAGGGAATGGGTGTGATAGGCAATTCCTGGAAGGATAGGCCCATGTGATGTGGTGCCTTGGCTGTTTCCTATTATTTCCGGGCCAACTCCCAAGGGAGCTGAAATGCATTCTTGGACTCTTGCTAAGATATTTCTTCCTCTTTCCCCCACCTACACACTGGCTGCCCCCACAAATAGAGATGGGCCTGGACTAAGAACACCTCCAGGCTTGGGAGGGGGGTTGGCTCTGGATCTGCCCTTCGCTGGGCTCCCATCCTCCCAGTAACAAATGGCTCAGTGATTGCTATGCTCCTGTATACAACCCGCTAGGCAGGACTCGGGGCAGTGCGTAAATCAAGCTCTCTCTGTTTTTTTCCTCCGGCATCTCTGTTCACAGGGACGTACCAGGGCCAGTGGGCTGGTGGCATGCGCCAAGGCTATGGCATCCGGCAGAGTGTCCCCTACGGCATGGCTGCGGTTATCAGGTCGCCCCTGAGGACATCCATTAACTCGCTGCGCAGTGAGCACACCAACGGCACGGCGCTGCACCCCGACTCCTCGCCTGCCGTGGCCGGCAGCCCTGCTGTCTCCAGGGGCGGCTTCGTCCTCATGGCCCACAGCGATGCCGAGATCCTCAAGAGCAAGAAGAAGGGGATCTTCCGGCGGTCCCTGCTGAGCGGGCTCAAGCTGCGCAAGTCTGAGTCCAAGAGCTCCCTCGCCAGCCAGCGCAGCAAACAGAGCTCCTTCCGGAGCGAGGCGGGCATGAGCACCGTCAGCTCCACCGCCAGCGACATCAACTCCACCATCAGCTTGGGCGAGGGCGAGGCCGAGCTGTCCGTCATTGAGGACGACATTGATGCCACCACCACCGAGATCTACGTGGGCGAGTGGAAGAACGACAAGCGCTCGGGCTTCGGGGTCAGCCAGCGCTCGGATGGGCTGAAGTACGAGGGGGAGTGGGCCAACAACAAGCGCCACGGCTACGGCTCCATGACCTTCCCGGACGGCACCAAGGAGGAGGGGAAGTACAAACAGAACGTCCTGGTGAGCGGCAAGCGGAAGAACCTCATCCCGCTGAGGGCCAGCAAGATCCGCGAGAAGGTGGATCGGGCCACCGAGGCGGCAGAGAGGGCGGCCACCATCGCCAAGCAGAAAGCGGAGATTGCGGCTTCCAGGTAAGGCTGCCTCGTTGTTATGTCTGGTCGTTACGGAGATGAGGGGAGGTCAGGGGAGATGTTGGCCGGCAGAGTGGCAGAGAGCCCATTGGTGTGACTCTGATCTCTATGGTATTCTGTGTGACCTGTGGTGTCCCTCATGGTGGAGGAGAGACATGGTTTGACCTTCATGGCTAGAAAGGGGATCCTGTATTGGGGCTGATGGACACAGATAGAGCCTGTGGTTCTCTCTGGCTCTCCAGCTCTCACTGAGCCGGAGCTGCTCAGTGTCACCCAGGGCTCCTTGTGTCCTGGGTTGAACTTTGCAATAATGGAATTGACTGTTTGACTGCGTTACCTTATTCAAAGCAACAAGTGAGGGCACCCCACCCATCTGAACCAGCACGTTGGCCGAGTGGTCTCCCTTCCCCAGCACAGTGCTTTGTAACTGGGAGCCTTTAATTTGCACAAAAAGGGCTCCGTTCTTCAATCCAAATGCAGGCAACACTCGTCTGGAGGTCGGGGCTTAGGTGGCTGCAGAGTTAGGCCACAAAGCTCAATGTCCCTGATTTTCAGTCCCTGGCTTACCACTGCAATTTTGCACCACCACACTGATGTGTGCAGTTTGCTGCACCAATATGGCACCTGCATGCATTGGTGACCAATTCTAGCAGCCTGTGCAAAACTGTCTGTGCAAAAGTGGAGGACAGGTTGGGGTGTGACTGCAAATCTGGGCCAGTATTATCAAGGTAAAGAAGTAGTAGTTTTATTGGCCATATGCAGCCAGCTTGGAAACCTAACATATATCCTGTCCCTGCATAAACTGGGTCTCATCTAAAACCAGGGATGGATTCTTCAAGGGCTGTCTCAACATTACTTGTTCCAAAGTCCTGGTCAGGTGTATGGAGAGGATCTTTCAGGGAATTAAAGCTATGAAGGTGAACAAATGTGATAAGTTGGTTGCATTAAACCAGCCTAGAATTCGGCTCTGCATAGATCTCAACATCCCTGTGTTTGCTAAGGGTGGCAATTGTTTGTGCTGAACTCACGGGACAGATGATTCTCATCTGAAGCCAACTCTGCCCTGAGGTGAAAGGTCAAATTCACAGCAGCTCAGCCACACCAGAGGCATGTTCAAAGGATGTTCTCAGGTCCAGAAAACTGGTGCTGGGTGTCGAATTAAGTGAAGAAAGCAAAACAAAATCTCAGTTAATATACAAACCCCAGGCAGCAGGGGATATAGCTACATGTGCTGCTGTTATCCCATGTGTCACTGGTGGCACCATCATCCCCTGTGGCAGTCAGGGCAGTGGCAGAACCCCAGGTTAATTTGGTGGCGACCTCACGCCAATACCCAATGAGGCAATATCTACACAGGGGGTCAAAGGTCATGACCCTGTTTTGCAGCATTGCATCTCCTGCTGCAGGACAAAGGCTGAGAAGCTGCATCCCTGTTTGTCAAGGAACTGGGCATCAGCTGTGATTCACGGTTTCCTGGCTCAGACACCCTCTTAGCCGGTGACTCTTTCAGCCTGGTATACAGAGATTTAGCTGTGCAACTACCATTAAAGCTAGCAGGAGCCAAGCAGCTTGGTCTCCAGGCACTGCATGTGAAATATGCCCCTCACTGTCAATATTGTGGCATGGCCTTGGTGTTTAATTTCCTCTCTCTATTTCTTTACCAGTGGCATCACTTGTATGGGACACAGTGACAACACAGCTGTCACTTAGGAGGTGCTGGGTGTCATTAACCCCTTTGCTGCTTCTTTCCTCTGTATCCTGTTCTAAAGCCCTGCATTAATGGGGACCATATCTCTAATGCTGGACAGAAGGGTTCTCTACAAGCTACTCCCCTAAGTATTTCCTTGCTGGTCTGTAGCTCAGAAAAACCTGGTGGGTTCTAGCCGGTGCCATGTGGATTCCCATCTACTTCTCGCTGCCCCTGATAAACAAGATTTCAAAGGGAAGAAGAGACAGATCCCTAATTACAGCCGCAGCTCCGGGAAGGGTTTGCCCTTTGCTAGGCTCTTCTCTGCTTGGAGAGCAGGGGCTCTGGGTACCCAAGGAATTCCTGCATGCCCCAGGAAACCAGGCACTCAGCCTAGAGACTGTCTTCCTGATGCTCTTCTTATTAATCACAGAGCAGTGCAAGGGACCTGAGGGAAAGACCCAGTTTTAGTTTTTAATTACACTTTGAAATTTTTTCTCTCTGGGCCTGTGTTTGTTCTATCTAATCTATCTATCCATCCATCCTTTTCCACTCTTTCTCTCTGGGCCTTTGTGTGTGTGTCTCTCTGTCTCAGACTTTGTTTTCCCGTTCTCTCTCTCTTTCCCAGTGCTGACCTGCTCTGGGGTACATATTGGCAGATGTTTGCTAGGCCGCGTGATTAAATACAGAGCCCCTTGAAGACCAGCATGCTATGCCAGTCACTGATGGTCACAATGCTTTCAATGATTCAGTGGCCGGGACATTTCCATCAAAGCCAGGCAGGTGGGGTGCACAGGGGGAAGGCCTCACAGTGACCTACTTTCCCCCCTACCCACTCTCATCCTATTTCCCTCTGCATGGCTCACCTGGGTGGCATAGTGCTGGTATCTCAGGTACGGGAGCTGTGTGTGCCTTATCTCACGCTTCTCGTAGCACTGCTATGCTCAGTGCCTGTTCTGTGCCGCCCACAAGACTTTTAGCAAGATCCAGAGAATTCCTGTCAATCAAGGGAAAACCCATTCATCAGGGTGAGGCGGAAATGCAGCGTCGCCCACTTGAGAGGCTGCTGGAATGCAGGGATGATGGCCTTGCAGTCACTTGGCTGAGGAAATCTCATCTCTGCCTATGTGCCTCCCCCATGTTCCCCTGGAGCCGCCACCTGGAAAATATCCATCCCAGGGCTAGAATAAGAGATACACGTGTTGCCAAAAAACAAACTAAACAAAAAACACTTCAGCTTTATATGAAAAAATGATCCTATTTTCAGAACTCTGAAAAAGCCTGGGGAATGCTGGGGCTGGGAAAAAAAGAGTCCTCCCTCCCCCCCCCCTCTCTCTTTCTCTTTCCTTCTCTTTCTTTAAACATTTAGAGCCAAATTCTATTATTATTATTAACTACTTGTATCACAGTAGCACATAGAGGCCCCAGCTGAAATCTGGGCTCCGTTGTGTAAGGTGCTGTCCATACACCTAGGAAGAGTCAGTTCCCGCGACCAAAGGGTTTACCGTCTAAATAGACAACACAGTCAAAGGGCAGGAGAAAGGAAGGATCATTACGCCCATTTTACAGCTGGGGAACTGAAACACAGAGAGGACGTAAGAAGGTCACACAGGAAGTCTGCGATAGAACTCAGATTTGAACGCAGAGCTGCTCAGTACCAGTCCTGCACCTTCTGCAAAAAAACATCCTTCAGTCCCGTGTTCCCTGTGGAACCTTAGAGAATTCACTGAGGAGGCTGTGACCCTTCAAATCCAGTGGACACACTTTCCCCCCAAGTTAGAACAGTTTGATGGTGGTTTGGATTTCTGGTCTCGGCTACTCCACCATGACCTGCATTTTTTCATTCAGGCATTAATGCTTGTATATATCAAAGGGGGTGAATTTTAGAGTTCTTGGCAGTGAGCATGGGGGTGGTAGAGCTGGCTGGAGGTGAGCAGTTGCTGTACGGGTACTGTGCAAGCATGCCCACCCATCTCTGCTAATGTCCCACAATCCAGATCTATAGCACATGTGCGCTTGCAGCTCCAACACACAGCTGTGCTAATGAACCCTAGTTCTGACCAGCAGCCCCCTTGCTATTCCAGATGTGGGATGCCCGTAAAGATCCTCCAATGCCCCTGATTCCTGACCCACTCCACCCCCCCTGCTGTTCCAGTCCTGGGCTCTCCTGTGCCCCCCAGTCCCGATCTGCCACTCCCCATACTATTCTAGTCTTTTGGGCTCCCTCCATATCTCTGCTGATATTCCTCCATCCTGACCTGCCACCCCTTCTAATATTCTACTGCTAGCTTTCCTTTCAACGGACACTGCACATTTAAATAAAGTAATAATGGCATTGATTCCCAGCCCATTCAGCAGCCCCGTGACCAGGCAAAAGCATGGGGGAGTGTTATCTAACACTTCCCATTACCCAGTCTCCTCACTCTTTGAAAAGCTTTGCTAAGTAGCCACTGTTCCAACCCTATGTTCGTCCCGTGAGAAATTCCATTTATTCCTTTCCTTGTGCCAGTGCCCTCTCTCCCATTCCAGTCTTAAGAGAAATCTTTAGACTTATGGAAGCTTGGTTGTGGAGCGGTGGTGGGGAAGAGGGAGGGACATGTGCTAATGATGTGTTCAGAACAATGTGATCCTCCAGAGACAAATTAAACTCTCCTCTCTCTGTAGCCAGCTAGCTAGATTTATACAAATGCGCATGACGGATATACACAGCTAACTCGCTGGTTCCCAAAATCTACCTGAGAGCCTAATGACTCAGAACCTACTCCAGGCAAAAGAGAGGCGGGCTGGAGAGAGAAGGCTCCTCTGTTGATTAAATGTCCCTTAATATTACTGCTCAGTGCCTTAAGGCTGCAGTGCAGAGATTGTTTATTACAGCGTAGCGTTTCCTCTCCGTTTTCTGAGTGAGATGAAATTAATTAGAAAGGAAAGGGGGGAGAAAAAGAAAAGAAGTCTGGTGCCACCCAGCCCTAACCGAATTAGACAAACTGTAAGTTTCAATCATTCGTATTCAAAGTGACACTTAAAAATGCTTTATCAGAAAGTGGGCTGGATCTCTTATCTGAGTGTGAATGAGCCTCCTGGGCTTGTTTTTTGAGCATATTTGCATTTGATGATACTTTCTAACTGGTGTTGTATCAAGTTACTGTCAAAGTTTAGAAAAGAAAGAGAAAAGGAGTGTAGAACACAAGCAAGTCCAGATCAGTCAGTGTGGTTTGATCCACCCCCAGGTCCCCAGCAATCTCATGTACTATTGCCACAAGTATTGGCTGTAGTAGCAAAGCTGTGCCTTTTGTTCTGAGAGGAGGTGCCTTAT